ATTGTTGTTTGGCGGGTCCGGGCTGGGGATTCGAACCCGCCACCTTAGGTGTACGTGGCTGGCGCCTTAGCCGGTTGAGCTATAGGCGCCGAGCCACGTTCACATTTTTTTTAAATTATTTTTAAGGTATTGACTTTGCGACTCGTAAGATAGCCAAGATGCTGAAGCCGCAGAAAGTGATTGAGCAGGATGGTGAGTCTTTCACTATCCACACGTGCAGCAGTCTAAGGAACTACTCTGTTAAATTTAAAGTTGGAGAAGAATTTGATGAAGATAACAAAGGCCTGGATAACAGAAAATGCAAGGTAAAGATTAAAGGACTAACGTAGGTTCCTAATTTTGCAAGGTTAACTTGGCATTTGCCTTAGTAAGGCTTGAGGATCCTGCCAGAGCAAACTGACATTTTCTCCTGTCCCTGATGCAGAGTTTGGTGATCTGGGATAATGACAGACTCACCTGTATCCAGAAGGGGGAAAAGAAGGACAGGGGCTGGACCCACTGGATCGAAGGGGACAAACTCCATCTGGTACACACCAAGTTTTTCCTTCTTTTTAATGATGATACAACGTTAAAGGAAATGTTAGTAATCTGAACAGTAATCTTACCTGCCTAACTCAACTGTTCTCATTTGGTGCATTATTTTCCTGTCTCTGACAGAATGCTCTGCTTATTTATTTATTTAGAAATAGAGTCTCACTTCACCACCCTTGGTAGAGTGCCATGATGTTAAAGCTCACAGCAACCTCCAACTCCTGGGCTCAAGTGAGTCTCCTGCCTCAGCCTCCCAAGTAGCTGGGACCACAGGCGCCCACTACAACACCCGGCTATTGTTAGAGATGGGATCTTACTCTTCCTCAGGCTGGTCTGGTACTCTTGAGCTCAGGCAATCCACCCTCCTCGGCCTCCCAGAGTGCTGGATTACAGACGTGAGCTGCTGCGTCCAGCCTTTTTTTTTTTTGAGACAGACTCTCACTCTATTCCCCTGGACAGAGTGCTGAAGCATCATAGCTCACAGCAATCTCAAACTCATGGACTCAAGTGATCTTCTTGTCTTAGACTCCCAAGTATTGGGGACTACAGGTGTGAGCCCAGCTCTGCCTTTTTATTTAACATAAAAACATTTTCTGGCTCAGCACCTGTGGCTCAAGTGGCTAAGGTGTCAGTCACATACTAACCCTAAGGTGGCAGGTTCAAATCCAGCCCGGGCCCCCCAAACAACAATGACGGCTGCAATCAAAAAATAGCCAGGCGTTGTGGCAGGTGCCTGTGGTCCCAGCTACTTGGGAGGCTGAGGCAAAAGAATCGTTTAAACCTAAGAGTCTGAGGTTGCTGTGAGCTATTACGCCATGGCACTCTATGTCTGAGAGTGACATAGTAAGACTCTGTCTCAAAAGAATAAAAAGCACTTTCTGGGCTTCTAAACAGTTTTCCTGTTGAATTCACTATGTATATTGACTATATGTAACAGGATAGCTAACTGGATACATAACATTCCATCCTGTTGATGAACCATCATCTTAGTAATGTAGAACCTCCATTGTGATCGAGTGAGCGTGAAAGCAGACCACATGCCAACTCCTGTTCTTTTCTTCCTCATCCCTAGGAGATGTTCTGTGAAGGTCAAGTGTGCAAACAGACGTTCCAGAGAGCCTGATCCATACCCAGCAGCAGAGCCCACTGTGGCTGCAGCTTCATGCTGAATTACATTGCAGGATGAACAGATGTTAACCTGCCCAGTTTGGGGATGGGGGGCCTTGTGGGTGGAGAAATGTCACACAGCGAGTATCAGAAGTCATCTGGATTGTGGGCGAGGTGCTCAGTTCTCATAAACCTGTCCAAACCACTCTGAAGTTTTCCTTTCTAAATTTAGCAGTTTAAAAAATATTTGAAGGCCTTCTAGGTGCAGGAGGGAAATACCAATGAATAAAATCTAATTCCTGCCTTCAAGGTCGGTGAGGAAGCTGGAAAAAACAAGCAACCTGAATAGTGGTGCTAAGTATAGGCAGCTACAAGAGCTCAGGAGGGACAAACTTGACTTTGGCGGATGGGCAGGTCTGGGGTGGTGGAGGTGATCTTTAGGCTAAGGCCGGAAGCCTAGATAAGCTGGTGCAATTGGGAGGCGATTTTGGTGACAGACTAGAGGTAAGTTGGAAGGATGTTTGAAGAACTGAAAAGATCACTTTAGCTGGAGCATGGGGTGTGGGGGGGTGGCAAAGGAGAGGAGTGACATACTAGGACCCCGTCACAAAGGGCGCTGAAAGCCAAGTTAAAGAGGCGAAAGTTCGTCCCCTAAAGAACAGAAAGATGGAGATGGGTATCAGACAGGGGCTCTTCACGGTCAGGTTTGCCTATAGAACAAAAGCCAGGCTACGGAGGGAAGGAAGGATTGCAGGTTGGGAGAAGGTGTGATTCTGGAGGCATTTTAGAAAGCCCTGCTAGAAACAGGGGCAGGGGGGACAAGAGGCTGTTGGTCAGGAGCACTTGGAGCCCAAGTCCCCAAAATGGAGAAAGGACTCCAGGTAGGGACTGGAGAGAAACAGCCACTTACTCAGGAAGCAAAATCCATAGGCCGAGGTGACTGACGAGATGCAGGGCTGGGGGAGGGGGAGGAATCAAGGGGGATGCCCTGTTTGGGGTTCAGGCAGCCACAGGAAGGATGAAGCCCTCCAGGGAGAGGGCAGCACCAGCACAAGAGGGAAGAGGAGTCGGAGCTCAAGAGACCTTGAGGCGCCTCTGCCCAGGGAGGGGGAGGCTATGCTGAAGGTGGGGGTGACAATCGGGCAGATGGGTCTGGAGACGTACAGATGGTCCAGCGCATTCTGGGACTGCCCAGAATATTGCGTTTAAAGTGAGAAGAGGGAAACCTAAGGTGCAAAACCTGCAGAGAAGGGACGACCAGAGAGGCTGGATAAGCCAGGGAGGCCAAGCTCGAGGGGATGCCTGGCACTCACCGAGGTGCCCGAGATAGGAACGAGGCCAGCTCGGAGGATCTTGCCTCCTTGGAGAGGAGAGTGCAGTGGCACACCTGGTGCTGAAACAGCATGTGGAGGGGTGCGGGGCTGGTTGGAGGTGGGGGAGTGCGGACAGTGACTGTTTGGTGGAGAAGCAGAAGGAACAGGGTGGAAGTTGCAGGGAGTCTTGGGAGGGGGCACCTGGGCAAAACTGGTGGGCTCCAGAGTGCGTGCTGGATAAGAAGAGTTAGGAAATGGCCACTGTGAACTTCCTGAGCGCTAACTATGTGCGAGGCACTAGCCTGGGCATTAGGAATACAATGGAGGAGTCTTCATTTTTAAGAGGCTTATAGTTAGCTGGTGATGACAGAATTCAGGAAGAAATCAAAATCTGTGTATCAGATATAACTCTTATTTCCAGTAACATAAAGTAGCTCGGGTTATTTTTTGTTGTTTCTCTCTTTTTTTTGAGACAGACCACTCATAGAGCACTATAGTGTCATAGCTCACAGCAACCTCAAGCTCTTGGGGTCAAGTGATCCTTTTGCCTCAGTCTCCCAAGTAGCCGGGACTACAGGTGCCTGCCACGACGTCCAGCTATTTCTTTCTTAAAGACGGGGTCTCATTCTTGCTCAGGCTGGTCTCAAACTGGTGAGCTCAGGCAGTCCACCTGCCTTGGGCCTCCCAGAGTGTTAGTGTTATAGGCATGAGACACCATGCCTGGCTATTGTTGTTTCTTTTCTTTTCTTTCTTTTTTTTTGAGACAGAGTCTTAAGCTGTCATCCTGGGTAGAGTGCCCTGATGTCACAGCTCACAGCTCACAGCAACCTCAAACTCTTGGGCTTAAGCAATTCTCTTGCCTCAGCCTGCCTAGTAGCTGAGACTATATAGACACTCGCCACAATGCCCGGCTATTCTTACTTAAAGCTGGCACAGTTGGGAGGACTACTTGAGGCCAGCCATTCGAGATCAGCCTGGGCAACACGATGAGATCCCCATCTCTAAATATATGTATATACAAAATTTATTAATTTTCTTGGGACATTAATGATATTTTGGAGGAATGTTTTAGTAACACCTATCTGTTAAAGGTATACTGGCTCAGCTCCTGTGGCTCAAGCAGCTAAGGAGCCAGCCACATACACCTAAGGTGGTGGGTTCGAATCCCCAGCCCG